ACACAATATTTTAAAGAACTGTTAAATAATGAAGAACAGATGCAAACAGAAGAGGCAATGGATTAGTCAAAGGATAATAATAAGAAGTACGTAGAGAAACCAACATAACCGAAAATAAACAATAAAATGGCTTATAAACGGTAGAAGCTCAGGGTAGAATGGAAATTTTAAAGGAAGAAGGGGTCACATTGCAAATAGGGGTATGTAATTAAATACTTATAGTATGAAGAGAGGAGAAAATGCCAGAGAGATAAAGTAATGCCGTAATTTGCCCAATACATAAGAAAGATGACAAAACCCTTTGTGAAAATTGCAGAGGGATAGCGCTACTGGATGTTGTGTACAAAATATTAGCAAATATCATTCATAATATATTGAAAAAATACGAGAATGGCATAGTAGGTGAATTCTAAGGAGAGTTTAGAGCTGGAAGATCGACAGTAGATGAAATATTTACCTTAAAATTATTACAAAATAATAGTTACGAACAAAAAAATAGGACTTCCCATGCTCTTTATCGATTTTAAACAGGTGTATGACTATCGATCGAGAAAAGTTGTATAAAGCGCTACAAAATTTAGGAATATCAAAATAGTTGATAACATTATTGAAAATGTCGCTAACAAGTACAAACAATAGAATGATCATAGAAGGAAGTATGTCAAATCTGTTTTCGGTTATAAGAGAATTAAAATAGGGGTATCCTATTTCTACTGATCTGTTTAACTTTGTCTTGGAAGCAATATTGAGAGAAAGTAAGATTCAAACTACCATTTTCCATTATAAAGAGCAATGAATAGCGTACGCAGATGATGTAGTCCTCTTAACAAGAACAAAAAAAAATAACCTGAACACACGAAGTAAATGCAGTTGCCGCACCACAAGTAAATACTTCAAATTATATGAACAAAGTCATTATGGGTCATATTAGTCAATATATATGCATTAAGATTAAAAAATGTTTTTACTTCTTATGGTTTAAACCAATGTATTTTTGAATTTACCCGAATACATAATGACTCTAAAACTGTGATTGATAATATTTTCTGCAATGTAAATATTAAGTTTTTATCTTGTTCTGTTGTTTATACCGATGTGAGTGATCACTTTTTACAGAAAGTTGAATACAACTTGAATGCTTGTTTTTTGGTGGATAATATTGTTTATAAACGTGATTTTAATAGCAATCTTAATATTAATTATTTTAATCAATTACTCTCTATTGAATCTTGGTGCTTTCTAAACTCAGATCTATCTTCGGATAACAAGTTTTGCATATTTTATGAAAAATTTTTGGAACTATTCGATAAAGCATTTCCTTTGCAACCGGTGAATACTAGACGATTTTCTAGACAGTCTAAAAACAAGGGATGGTTGACTTTTAATTTAATAAATGAGGGAGATTTTATTAGAGACATTTTCAGATCTATAAAATATTCAGAAAGTCATGAGCTCAGAATACGGTATAACATTCTAAAAAAAAATCATGAATACAAAGTTAAGTTAGCCAAGCAAACTTATTTTAATAATAAAATGATAAATGCGCAAAATAATACGGCTGATGCTTGGCGCATCATAAATCGAAACAGTGTCGGAGGTAAAAATCGAAACTCTTCTAAATACCCACATAAATTTAAAAATAATTTGGGAATTTCTGTGGATAACCCTCATGACATAGCTGAGTCTTTTAGTCAACATTTTTCGAATTCCGTAAAAAATTTAATTAGTCAAACTTCACCTGACTATAATCGTAAGAATCTTTTTTCGCCTATACACTCCCTTTTCCTTTATCCTGTTAGTGATGAAGAAATAAAGAGTATAATTAAAGATATTTAAAAAAAATCCTCTGCTGGACTGGATGAGATCCCGTATTCTATGTTATTACATGTATCTCATAACATATATAAACAATTAACATTTCTAGTAAACCTTTAATTTCAGGAAGGGATTTTTCCTCTAATTCTAAATACTGCTCTAGTTGTGCCTATACATAAAAAGGTGACAAATCAAAATTTGATAGCTATCGAGGCCTATCACTTTTATCTGTCTTCTCAAAAATATATGAAAAGGCATTTCATACACGTCTCCTCTCGTATATTAAAATGCACAACATTATAGAAAAGTCTCAATTTGGTTTCCGTGAAGGTATAAGTGTGCAAGATGCACTACTAGTGCTGTGCAATCATATTTTATCGAACTTTGATATGGGTAATAAAGTTATCTGTTTGTTTTTTGACTTAGCACGAGCTTTTGGAACTGTAAATCATCCAATACTGCTGGAAAAACTTTATCATAGTGGTGTTAGAGGAACTGCGTTAAAGTGGATTCAAACCTTTTTATCGAAAAGGTTTCAAAAAATTAAGGTCAATGTGAATGGGACTATAATATTTTCTTCAGAAGAAAGTGTCCTCTCCGGACTTCCACAGGAAAGTATCATTGGCCCTCTTTTATTTTTGATTTTCGTCAATGATTTAAATCAACTGATAAACGATAGCTCAACATGTTTGGTTCGGAATCCATAAGATAATTTTTTTGATGCAATAAGCGTTCGAGGAGAAAACTTGGGAGGGAACAGCAATCAGGCTATTACGTCACTCAATTTGCTGACGATACCACAGTTGCACTAAATTCCAATAATTTTTTTCATGTAGTACAAAAAGCAAACTGTCTTGTAAAAAGTATGACTCATTACTGTTTAAATAATGCCCTAATCTTAAATGGATCAAAGACCAATATGGTAACCTTTTCACCTTCTATTATGCAGATGAGTCCATTAGTAAAGCTTGACAATGGGTCTGTAGTAAATAGCCACTCCACTAAGTTGTTAGGTGTTTACCTGGATTCTAATTTGTCTTGGAGTTCTCACGTTGATTATGTAGTGGGGAGATTGTCTGTACACTGTTATGTTCTAAGGCAACTTAGGAATTTTGTCTCCCTAGATATCTTGAAACTTTACTATTTTGCTCATGTACAGTCAATTTTGCAATATTGCTTAGTTTGGAATAAGGAAATGATGTTTCCTTAATGAGTGGCTACAATTTTCGTTACAGAAATGATTTGGTGATCCCTGCTCGTCACTTGACTGTTGTGGGCAAGAGTCCTTACCCAACATACGTTAGTTTGTATAATAAATTACCTAAATATGTTAAAGAGTCAAATATTTATGTATTTAAGAGAGCAGTTAAGGACATACTTTGTAATTTGTATGTTTTTGTGTATATTTGATGTTTTATGTGCTTATAGTTTTTACTTTTTTTACTACCTAATGTACCTATAGTTTTTTAGATTGTATTTTGTCGCATGTCAATACTTGTAAAAGTCAGATGAAATAAAGAATATTGATTGATTGATTGATTTATTTGCTAGATACCTAGATAGCATAAGTTTCATTTTTAAGAAGTACAGACTTCGCATCCAGGGAAATAACATTTGTGTGGTAATTATGGCATTTCTAAATAATGTAGGAGCCCTAAAAAGTTACGACATACGTTTAGGATCATCGCCAAATGATTCGTCGTTTGTCTCCCCCTTGTACATAGAAAATATGATTGTTACTTTCCAATCCTCTAGGATAACTTCTAGTGTCCATATGTGGCAGATTACATTATGGATACGCTTCCACATAACGTGTTCACCATTCTTTATCAGTTCTGCAGTTATTCGATCTGTGCCAGGAGCTTTATTACTTTCAAATATTTTATGACGTATATAGTTTCTACCAATGTTGGATTCTTAACTTATTGTTCTGGTGTATAATAAATTATTTCTTCTTCTTTGTTTTGTTCTTTTTTGGGTTTAAGAGGTCTCTAAAATGTTCCTTCCACCTTTGCATTATTTTCTTTTTCTCGGTGATAATTTCCCCGTTTTTGTTCTTCTACACTTTTGTTCTAGCCATGTTCCCTAGAGTGCATCACTTTATTTCATTGTAAAATTAATTTCCTAGTCTCTCTTCCATTACTAAAGTATGTAATTTGTTGTATTTTTTAATTAACATTGCTTTTTTTCTCTCTCTATATACATAATGTCCATGCATCTTTTTTAATTCTTCACATGCCCTTTTATTCAACCCGGAATTCATTTGTAGACATTTCTGCCTAGCTGTATTTTTGACTTATTTGACTTGATTTTTTACTTGTTGGCAATCTTGGTCAAACTATTCTTCGTTTCTTTTGCTTGAGGTTCCGGCTAATGTTTTCCTTACTGTATTGGTAATTGTAATTTGGATGCTATTCTATTCGTATTCGATATTATTTTTTTCTCCTCTTTTATTTAATATTAGATTTATTTTCTGCTGGAACTGATCTTTCTTCTTATGATTTTTAAACATATATGTACTCTATGTTTGGTGCCTTTCTCTTTTCTTACTATTGATACTTTTTGTTTTATCTTCGATATGACCAAGAACTAATTCAAATTGCGATTTGCGCCTTTATAAGATCTAACATCGGTTATGGAGGTTGCCCATCGCTTAAATATTAATATATGATCAATTTGATTAAATTTATTAGTACCAGGTATTATTTAGGTTCCGTTCAATCCACCAAAGGACTGCTGTAAAAACAATTGTAACAATAATAGAAACAAACTGGAAGAAAGCAAATCTATGGATCAAGTTTTCATTTTCTCAAGAGGAAATATGTGAAGCCCAGAGCAATTGGAGCTGTAAATTGCACACAGGTCCGTATTCGAAAACCTTACAAATTTGAAGATGAATATATAAAGCAAAGGATTTACCAGCATTAATGTTAAAGCAACGTGCAATGCACAGGACAAATTTAGAAGTTTAGATGTGCAATGGCCCGATTCTACTTATGATTGTAGAATCTAATTTGTTTCGTTATGCATCACAATAAACAAAGAGCTTTTATTATCGCAATTATTCCTTTACATAAAATTCACACACTTTATTTTAAAAAGCATTTTGAATAACTTTGATACAACAAAATAAACAAAAATATTTTTGGTTATGTTTAATACCTAACGATAAATATGATACTTACATGGTAACCACGGCAAATTCACTTCTATTCTATCTGATCTTGCCCAATTGAAATTATCCAAAATTCCTGCGCAAGCTATTCCAGAAAATAGTAAAACACTAGTCACTCGCGCCCTAGTTCCTACCATCATCCTTTCTCCAGGACAAATTTTTCCAGAATGCTCATGCACATATAGATTTTAGAGATAATAACCTCTGCTTATCCTTCTTTTGCCTTAGTGAATTTGCAACTTCTGATTGAGATTTTGGATGTCGACAAATCTGTAATAAAAATGGGTTTTATTATTGTGTTCAAAACAAAAACTAAACACGTCTTTCTCTGATAACACTTATTGAATTCGATTTTGTTAAAAATAAACTACTTGTAAGAAGTTAAGGATTTATCTAGTATTCTAGGGATATAACTATAATTTTATTTTTATATTTTCAAATGAAAATAAACAAACATAGTAGTTACTATAATACTCGAATTTTTGTTCATAAAAAATTATAAGAACATTTTTATTACAATAATGTGACTCAAGTGGACACGTGAAAAGATAGCTTATTTTTATTTTTATTTTTATTTAAGAGCGAGAGCTATTTTAGTTTTAGTACCGTTTTTAACGAAATGGAATAGGTGAGCAATGTATTAAAAAGTGTATGTAGTATATAAATACACGTATTATAATTATATTTACAATGTATAACCAACCATCTACTTTAGATCTAGTGCTTATTCGCCCTAGCGCAGACTTCTACATAAGCTAGAACATTTCGGAGTTCACGGTACTTTACTTCATTGGATAGATGATTTTCTGACAGATCGACATTACAAAGTTAGAGTTGGCGAATCTTTCTCACAGGATAGGTTAGTGGAGTGGAGTGCCCCAGGGTTTTGTTCTTGGACCTCTGATTTTTACGGTTAATACCAGCGATGTTTATTATTATGTTTCAAGTAAAATACCGTTCTAAGCTGATGACACAAAAATATATGCCAATCCAATCACAAAGCAGCTAACTCTCCAAATGGACTTGAAATCTATTTTAACTTGGTATTCCCAGTGGTTACTACCCTTAAATGCAAGAAAATGTGTACTGATTTAAATTGTAATCTACAGTAAAAATAATCCACTTGTGCCGTACTTTATTAACGGGCAGCCATTAGATTCTGTGTTCTCTTATAACGACTTTGGTGGTATCGTAAACAGTAGCCTAACTTGGTCCTACCATACTACCTCTGTTTGTAAACGTACGAACTCCAGACTGTATCTTATTCGGAGGTATTTTTCGAGAGTTTCAATGCAAATACTCTGTAAACTTTACACTTTTTACGTAAGACCCATACTTGAATAAGCTGGACCAACGTGGTATCCTCATTTGGTTCGAGACAAGATTTTGTTGGAAAACGTTCAAATAAAAGCCACTCGAAATCCTTTGGGACCGAGAAGACCTTCTTATGCAGAAAGACTTAGTATGGCTAACCTATATTCTTTTGAACTTGGCCGACAACGTGGAGACTTAATTACAACAATTAAAATATTAAAATTCAATTTCGGAAATCTCGATGAAATATTTACCATAAATGAAGATGAACGCCTCAGAGGTCATCAGTTTAAACTAAAAACAAAAAACTTTTCTACAAGATTAAGACAGAATTTTCTACCAAATAAAGGTTTTGAGTACTGGAATAATCTTAATGATAACATTGTCTGTGCTCCCTCTACCAACTCGTTCAAAAACAGACTAGACCGTTTTATATTATACTTTAAATATTGTTTTACTTTTAAATCTAAATTTATGACATAAACATAAAAAACTAATGAAATTTATTTGTTTTTGGACATAATAGGGACTTGTCCCTCTGCCCTTGCTTATGTGTAATAATAATATTGTTATTGTGTGTCAGTTAATCAGTTTAGGGAGTTTTAGGGTTTAGGGTTTTGGGATGTATACACCGCTACACTTAAAGCTACAGAACCAAAATCGTCACTAATGGGCATTATTGACAATATTCAGAATCAGCTTACTCGAATCGATCAGTTTCCTTAAAGATAAATAAAGAAGTTTCGGAATCAAGAATATGTAGATCTGGATTACCACAAGGTAGTATCTTGACCCCAATCCTCTACAGCCTGTACACAATGGACATAGAAAATGTTATATCACTTAAGTCCAAAATTATTCAATACGCCGATGATGTTGTTATTTACACCAGTAACAAATCAGAGGACAAATGTATAGAAAATATCAACACTGAATTTATAGAAATCCAAAAATGCCTAGACAATATGGGACTTTCCATATCCGAATCCAAAACCAATATATGTATTTTCTCTAGAAACAGAAACAACTGTCAAAGACCATTAACAATAGGAAAATATAAACTCTGTATTAGCAACTCTGTAAAATATCTTGGTCTGCATCTAGATCGAAAACTATTCTGGAAGGACTGTATCCACCAAATTATCAAAAAAACAAGTAATTCTATAAATATTTTAAGAGCGTTTTGTAGGGCAAAGTGGGGAGCAGATCCAAATACGGCTTTACTATTCTACAAAACAATGGTACGATCAATAATGGATTATGGAAGTCAACTCTATGGAACAGCAGCAGATACACATCTAGTCATTAAGTCAACATCCATAAATATTATACAAGCTGAAGCCGTGGAACCTCCTCTTAAACTAAGAAGGCAACTATTGAGCAGAAAATTTATGATAAAAACCATTTCCAAAAAAACTTCTTACCTCAATAGTATACAATCACTAACAGTTCAAGTTTTGAACTGTTAGTGATTGTATACTGACTAACATCAAACAAAGTTTAACGAAACAAAAAACAAATACTGGCTAAACTATGATTCTATATTCACTGATGGATCAAAGTCAAAAGAATATACCAGCTGTGCTTTTTACCATTTGGAAGAAAATGCTGACAAAAAATTTATTCTACCAAAGGAAGCTTCCATATACACTGCAGAATAAACAGCAATAGTGCAAGCTATGAAATACATACTCGGCTCTAACCACGACAAATTCATAATATGTACGGACAGCAAAAGTGCAGTAGATAAACTTAAAAAAGTAAACATAAATAGATCAGTTAATCATATTGAAGCAAATATCCTGTATTTATATAATGAGATACACATCAAGAATAAAGTCGTCATATATGTATGGGTAAAGGGACACGCAGGTATAACAGGTAATGAAATAGTAGATGCCTTAGCAAAAACAGCCCCAACATCAGAAGAAGAACTAAATCTTAAACTACCCCCGTCCGACTTATTCTTAAACCAAAGAAACAAACTAAATGAGATGTTTCAAAACCTATACAACGCTTCAACAACCGAAACAAACTTTTGTAAATACCAGCAAAAAATTCCCAGAAAACCATTGTTTCACAAAATACCAAACAGAAACTTTGTCACAATAAATCGAGTACGTGCTAATCATGCACTAACACCTTATTATAAGCACAAAATGAAAATTATAGACAATCCACGTTGTAGTTGTGGTAAAATGGGTACATTAGTACATGTTTTACTTGAATGTCCAATAAATAACGTTTGACGTTATGTTTAGGTCTAGGGGTCTAAAAATTGTTTTGTTCGGATACTTTTTGATATAAAAAACTGAACGAAGCGATTGAACTAGGTAAAAATAAAATTATCAGGGCTTTGGCCAAGCTTTTCACTGAATGCATCTACCAATGAAACTCCTTTTTAATGGAACAATGCAGTCATTATTTTATTCCACAAGCAAGGAGACATAACAGATCTAAAAAACTACCGTCCTATCAGTTTGCTTTTGCACATATATAAACTTTTAACACAAATTATTAAAAAAAAAGGCTGGGCGGTAAGTTAGACTTCAACCAGTCTAGAGAACCAGCTGGATTTAGATCAGGAGACAGCACTAATGACCAGTTACTAGTGATAAGAAACCTGATAAAGAAGTCTGCAGAATACAACAAATTATTTGAACTGCTGTTTGTGGACTACGAGAAAGCATTCGATACCATAAGCCATGAGAAAATGGTAAAAGCATTGGAAGAATGCCGAATAGACCATCGCTACACCAACATAGTCAAATATATCTACAAAAATGCCACAGTTAGCGTAATACTATCTAAACAAGAAACAAATAAATTCTGTATACAGCGGAGAGTACGGCAAGGAGACACCGTTTCTCCAAAGCTATTTAAGACGCTTTTAGAACATACTTGTAAGAAGGCACATCTGAACGAGCATGGTATTAACTGAAATAGAGAGAAGCTCAGTCATTTGAGAGTTGCAGATGAAATCGTCCTTAAAGCCGATCTTATGTTTGATGTAATACTTTTGTTTGAAAAATTATATCACGCTTCCTTGGAGGTCGGACTAAAGATTAATATGAACAAGACGCAAATAATGACTAACCTGATGCTAAATGGAAATATTGCTGTTGATGGAAGGGATATTGTGCAGGCAGCGTCGTACAAGTACTTAGGACATGAAATTAGGTTGGACAGAGATAACCAGGGATAAGATGTGAGCTCCCACGTCGCATAGGATTAGCCTGGGCAGCGTTTGGTAACTTAAACTATGTATTTAAATCGGACCTACCCATATGCCTCAAAAGGGAAATCTTTGACCAATGTGTGTTACCTGCACTCACTTATGGAGCGGAAACATTAACGCTCACAAAAAAGGTAGTGATTAAGATTCGCGTGACTCAAAGGGCTATGGGGCGCCAGATCTTGGTCTAGGTCTCTGAGAGACCTAATCCGTCGTAAGAAATACGTCGTACAACAAAAACAACAGACAGACGCCATCAAAAAAATCGCGTCGCTGAAATGAAATTGGGCGGGACACGACGTCAGATTATCAGACAACCGATGGACAAAACGTATTGTCGAGTGGAGATCAAGACACTACGGAGCAGAGGGCGCCCGCGAACTAGATGGACTGACGACCTGAAGCGTACTAGCGATAACTGGATGCAAGTCGCACAAGACAGAAACAGATGGAAAGAGCTGAGGAAGACCTATGTCCAGCAGTGGACGCATACAGGTTGATGATAATGATGATGACATTTTGATATAAAACAATAGCTCTAGCTAATTAGCTCTGCCAAAGCCATTTTCACGAAAAAAAAAAAATAAACGG